AAGCCTCAGACCACATGTTTGTCAACCTCGGCTTCGCCTCGGCCAACAATTACATGTGGTCTGAGACTTTTCTTATTTTACTGGCCTAGGTATGTAATCTACTATTTGATAAGAAAATATTTGAATATAAATATTAAAAATAAAAATACTTGCAATTAACGTCTAAAAGTTAGAAAAAATGCAGCAATACTTGAAAAAATTGCATATAAAAATTTTGCAGTTATTTTATTTAAAAATTGGGCAGCTGTTTTGTAAAAGCTATACAAATTCCCTTTTACTTTTATCTATTGACCTACAAGGGAATCTAAGAGAAAACTTTCTTGGCTTGAGGCTCTTGTAACCTTGTATTGGTTTACCTAAAAAACCTACTTTGTTAAAAAAAACATATTCGAAGAAGAAAGAGTTTTCTAATAAGTAATCTTACTTTTTAATCAAATACAGAAGATAGATTCTTCTGCAATTTTAAGGAGATCCAAGTACCTACCATTAAATAATTATTAATATTTTATTGAATAATAAAAAATATAGCCCTCTGAAGTAACTATGAAAAACTTCGGACTCGCCTCCAGTTTATCAGAAAAAGAATAAATTTCCTTTCTTCTTGGTAAGGAGAAATAATTCCTAAAAAGTTTTCCCGTTTTCACCAAAGCAAAACAAGGCTTTCTCTGTGGATCATGTCCGGAGGGCTTACAATGGAATTAAACCGTAATGATGATAATAATTGCTATTACAGTTGATTGGAAACTTTCGCCTATTTTAATAACAATACCAATGACAATGACAAAGATAATTACAATAACAAAAGATAGAACAAAGAGGATAGTCGGGTCAAAGTTAACCGATCTCTTGATTCATAATCGATCGGCATCACAATGGATCGGATTTATCAGGACGAGGTTGCAGGTTGGAATGGACTGTTGGTCTTGATCTTTCTGGGTCACAAGGCCAATCGGGCTTGAGCTCAACTTGGATCCACGATAAAGAATTAAGTGTGTCAACCGGGACACTGCAGCTACCGGCTTGTATACGTTTTGTTGTAAATGTTAATGTTAATGTTGATGTTAATGCCGCGTTGAGATTTAAAGAGTTTAGTTTGTTGTTGTTGAGGTCCTCGACGTTGAGTCGACGTCCGGTGAATTATCTCCTAACAGATCTCTGACAAGGTAACCGTTAAGGCTTTCTTTATGTTAGCCTTTCCCCTTGACCAGAAGAAACCTGCAACGATCCATATCTTTAAATCATTTCAAGTTTATCATTTTTGAGGGAATGTTCTTGCTTTGCAAGAACATTCTTTTGAAGTATGCAAAAATTTTATGCTAAATGTAAAATGTAGATTCCACTATTATTTTTTATAGACATTCTTTACTCAAGGAGGGTACTTGGATCTCCTTAAAGAAATGTCAATTCAGTTGATTAGCAAGCTCATATATTGTAATTTAAATAAAACTAAAGCGTAATATGAGACTTATCCATGATGGCGAAATCCAGTGAAACGTGGCGGTCATTCAACCCATTACATTACAAGTAAGATATCAGATCAACAAAGTTCATCTTCCTCATCTTAAAAAGTATTAAAATTTAGTCACTATTAATTATCTATTCCTCTTAGATTGTTATCATTATCTTATCAACGTTCTAATTAAGCAAACAATTAAGTATTATTTGTTTATAGACTCGATAACAGTGCCCTATTTTGAAGATAAGTGTGAAGAACACACTAAGTGTCGTAATTGACTTTGGATTATGCTATGCTCATCGTTGTACGTCATGGTCAATTATACTCTTTATAATCCTGGAGAATATTGAAATGTCTGTTATATTAAACGGATTAAAATGAATAGAGGAAAATTATAGATCGTAAATAATGGACATTAATTGGTCAATAGCATTGAAATTGTTTGAGTAACTGTAATGCAACCTTGATTGGTTGATGAATCACTGTTGATATTGTGTGTTTGCGTGAGAAAGATCTGAAAAGGAGGAAAGATCTTAGCACACAGATGGTGAACATTAATAAACTCAATCCGAATGTAAGATGAGTCCATTAATAGTTTTGAATCTGTGTAATGCACCCGACAAGCAACTCAACAACCACGTACATTATTAACGTGACTCCATCTTAGGCGGCCATATATTTCAGTCAATCACAATTATTTCCGAGCTCACATTCTATTCTCCTTAAACACATATTCCAAATCTCGTTAGCACTTGGTAGTTTAAACATAAAACATTAACCATTAAGCTTGATGGGGCTCGTGTACTATTTGAATGCTTCTTGTCGGCTGGTTACAACAAATTTCTTCATTTAATCTTTAGTTTATCAGTTACTTAGAGTTTGTCTTAGTTAAAAGACTCTAAGCGACTTGACAATTTGTATGAGCATAATGTCTTATAGAATAGATTTATAAATGTGTCATCCTGCAAAAGGTTCATCTGAAAATGTCAAGCATTACTTTTCCTCCTTTCTCTATTACAAAATTATTTGCCGATTTGTTGATACCATCAATATTGTCTTTATCTTCTTTTGACCTTTATAAGTTTACATATTTTAAAAATTCAAACACTAAGTGTAATATTTGTAACCTTAATTTAAGATTCTGTTCTTAATTTAATTTAGATAATTTTAATTAGACATATCTGTAAAAATTTATTCTAATTATTTATCTGTAGGTTATCTTGAACTAAATTCAACACCTAATTACCTAGATTATTTAAATTTTATCTCAATGATAATTTTTAATAGTTTTTCTGACATATTTTGTAAATAATGATTAATTTATGTTGTGATAAATTTTGTTTTAAGAAATTGATATTCTGTAAAATTTTCTGGTTATTAAGCAAATAAAATAAAGGCAGGAAGCCTTTATTAATGAAATTTTAATTTGACAATTTTTTCTGATCTACTAATCAAAAAAAAAAAAATAATTCGATCCTGCCAGGATTCGAACCTGGAATCTTCTGATCCGTAGTCAGACGCGTTATCCGTTGCGCCACAGGACCATATTTTTAGTTACACTTGTCGTACCTAACACATGCTAATTATAGGAATTTTTCTAGACTTTTATTTTTTTTCTGTTAGTCTTGCATAAATTAATTCGTAAAAAATGTATAAAGATAAAATAAAAATTCTTATAAATGTTAATTTTTTCTGATTTACAAGTTAAAAAAAAAATATTCGATCCTGCCAGGATTCGAACCTGGAATCTTCTGATCCGTAGTCAGACGCGTTATCCGTTGCGCCACAGGACCATATTGCTAGTTGTACTTATCGTACCTAACACATGCTACTTATAAGAAATTTTCAAAATTTTTTATTTTACTATTAATCTTGCATAAATTAATTCGTAAAAAATGTATAAAAATTCTTATAACTTTTATGAATAAATTTGAAGTTATTTATAAATAAAGTATCATCCTAACAAATAAAACATTTCCTTTAAGAGTATTTTTGAACAAACATTACCACAATAATTATAAAAGTCAATATCCGAATGCAAACAAAAACACGTTTTGCTCAACATAAATTTACCTTGACTTTCTCACTTACGTAATCGTCCAGCCAAAATAGTCAGACCTGTTAAAAAAACAAGCATCATCGCTTAATACATTGCGAGAATGAGTCATCAACAAAACTATGTCAAGTTTCCGACTGAATACAGCAACCATTTAATTTTAAACTTACAATTTACATTACCAAAAACGGCTCCTTATATTAAATTATGCAAATTCCGCCATTTTAAGAGCGTTGTTATTTCTTCTTAGTATTACTAATTAAAAAGTCACAATTGTAGAGCTGCCTTGTATTGAATTGTATTATTTGTAAGATACTGTTAAAAATTCTCCTCAATGTCATTACTCGACTTAATTGTGGGAAATGCAGAATGGAATTAATGCATCTGAAACAAATAGAATGATCGGCAGTATTGAATTACGCAATTACAATCACAATAAGGAGACACGCAACTTCGAGTCAAAGTCAATCAAATAGTCGGTTCGGTTGCATTCTAATACTTTTTTTCGATCTATCATTTCCTCAATCTAAGCATTCAATTCTACTTACAGATTTTATGTGTCTCGTATTAGCTACTTTATTTGTTTGGATCGAGAGTTCAACCGTGAAATATACGCTGAAGAAATCGATTCACGAGATCGGCATTAGAGAGGCAAAGAATCGATTTATCTTACCAGTCAACTAAATGACCCACTACGTGTATCGTTGAATCGAGTTCAGTTGCGTAATTCCTTTCTGTTTTTCAACTGTTACATATTTTAGATATTTCTTCTTTTATATGCCGACTTTTATGTCAAAAAAAGACTATTGTGAAAACAAACAATATGGTTCAATTTAATTAAAAAAAAAATAAAAGACATGATTTAAGTATTTCCTGAGCTTTTAGATGCAATAAATGAAATTTTACTTTATTAAATGATGAATTTTGTTAAATTGCACTGTACTTTCTTAACTATTGACGTTTTTAAAGATATAAGCTCATCCTGAAGTTATACTCATCAAAAGCTTCCATTTGAGTACCCACATGCATTTTTGATATATATTTCATATATACATAAATATATAAAATATATGAAAAATTGATGTGGGTACT